CACATATGTACTATTTTTTACATGATCACTTTTACATTGTTTTTGTTCTCCTGTATTTCTCAATAAATTGCAGACCGTATGAAAATATGGGCTGGAGGCAGTACACTTATAGTGGTGGGAGGCATGGAGTATTAAATATCTGCGTTACAGCAATCTGCAGCTCTTTTGTAAGTTCCCGTCTGTGCTGAACTCTGTCTGAGGATGGCCTGGGGGGGGGGGGGGGGCTTCGGACCCCGGGGCTGCTGCTGTGAAGACCAAGACCTTTCATTGCCCCCAGTTCACATTTCCAGCCTGCGTTTGCCAACAGAATGGGCCACGTTTTCTTCACAGCTTCAGCAACTCCCCCCTTCCCTGCCCTGGAAGCTTTTCTCCTCTCTTTTGGGCGACGGCAGAAGGGTCCCGGCTGGCCGTGGCCAGTCCCCGTCATTTAGTGGAAAAAGGTCCCAGAGACAGAGCTGTTAATTCAATCAAGAGAGCTGTATGCTCAATTAGGCATCCATAAGGGCTCAGGATGGGTCTGGGGGCCCGTGGAGGGCAGACCGCCCAGCCCCCAGGAGGCATTAATTGTGGACGACAGTGTGTAAACAGTGGGGTGAATAGCCAGCGCAGGTGCGGGACACCCAGGGCAGCCTCAATGGTTCTTTTCACACCAGCCTCACTCTCCCTTTCCCCTTTTTCACTGGGACCCCCCCCCCCAGCTCTCTTTGGCCATTTTTCATGCACTTCATTTTCAGGCACTTCGTATCAAAGCCAGATGAGAATGGGATGCCAATAGAGGTAGTGTGGCTGGTGCGGACGGCTCTGCGGGTATGTTAGTCAGGGAGAAAGAGGGAAAGGCAGAAAGAGTCACAATCTGAGTCACCGCCGTCCATGTTTTTCAGCTGGAGCCGGAATTGTGTTGCTCCTCAAATTTGGGAACTGGTGAAAATTGCAGCCAGTACATGTAAAGGGTGTGGAATTTATCAAATGAAATCCAGATGAGGGACTTTAAAGAGAGGGCTTTCTATTTGACCTTACATTTTTTCAGTTTAAAGTTCCTTTTCTTTCTGTCTTTCTTCCCCTGACTCCGTCATTCTGTCTGTATGCTCTCAGAAATGGGAACCTCAAGGCCGTGCCCAGGAGACAGCTGGCACCTGTGATGTGGCTGGAGCCCAGTCTCAGTCAGGGTAAGGTGGGCAACTTGAGGATGTTTCTCAGGACCCTCCATCGTACCCTCTATACCCACACCCTTAGTACCAGTGTACACACACTTTCAATTCCCATCCAAACCACTTTGAAACATGTGGATTAATACACAAAAGTCTTGTATACATACTCAATAAGGCAATGAAGTTTGTGCTTTTGGTAAGAATTGTGTAGTCTCTTTTAGATTAGGTGCAAGTGCTTTGGAAAATAAAAACTTTTTTTCTAAGTCTCAATAAATAGTGTAATATATTTGGATTTACTGTAGTAATCTTTTCCTCTTGGCTTCCAAATAAGATCCGTGCACAATTTAATCCATTCATTACGCATTATCTCATTTTTTACTCCTAATAATTTCTCACAGTTTCTTTAATTCTCTACAACATCAGTCCAGACATATGGGAACCACTGTCTTGCCCAGTCTAATATCTGCAGCTAAGGTTTTTCTGTGTACTGGGATCAGGCACGGCCCAGTCACTGAAAATCTCTGAAAGGCTAGTAATTGGGGAATACATTTTTTAATTCATAATTTAATTCTTTATTTTCCTCCAGCCAAATGACAACAACACTTTGTGTTAAGCCGTTGTTTTTTTTTTTTTACACCCCAGAGAAATCAGTCTTTGTTTGGAGGTGGGCAGAATTTAACAAAACGAGAAAACAGGACATTAAGTGATCTCATTAACATTCCATTAGCCTCGGCCATCCTTCCCCCTCTGGCCAGTGATTCACCCCCCAAGTGTAACTTTGAAACCCAGATGCAGGTTGAGCTTTTTAGCACATCGCACTGCCAGTGGGTTTAGTCACACATCTCCCACATACTAGGCTATAGCTCAGAGTTAACTGCTGCACTCTTGTGGATGCGCTGTGTGAGATTGGCATGGAATGTGCACACTGTCTACAGAGTAGCAGCATACGTGTATTATAAGCAGATATTCCCATCTGTTTTTTTCTTCAGCTGAATCTATGACTATATTATATTTTTTAACAATGTTTTTTCTGTTGTATCATTTCTTTTCCCTGCTCTCTTCTACTCTCCCCCAGCTCTCATTTTTCTTAATCTTATTTTTCATATATCTATTTTTTCATAATCGTCCCCATTCGTCACTCATTATAAAAACTTGTTTAACTGTTGAACAGGACACATGGAGAAATCCTTAATGCCAGGTCACTTATATATTTTGATTTTTTTTCCCCATTTAGATTGTATTTCTAATCAACAACATTTAAAATAAATTCACAAAGTTACAAACTCACATTTAAAATTAACAGCCGAAGAAAACCTGCATTTCTCGTAAATTTTCACATTGCATCGACTATATCAGCGGTTCTCAGCTGGTTTATCCTCAGGACCCACATTGTTCCTTGGTCATTCAGTTCCAACCCACATTTTTGCAATTTTGAACCAGATTTGTTTCACACAAAACACAGAGTGTGAATAGTAAATAGCACATAGTGCAGTAACAGTTGCACAATGTCTTCATGCTCTGATTTAAAAAAATAAATAAAATCTAACACTAGAAAAAATTTTCAAAATAACTTTTTTTCCCACACACTCTGTGACCCACTTTTAGGTCACAACCCATCAGTTGAGAAACAGTAAACTAGAAGTAATCTATGCCGTGGTATAACTATATCAATACCAATTCCAAATCCCATTTAATCTTTTCAATATGACAGATTTTTCCTGGTATAAGTCATTTTGAAAATTTTATGTGCATCAGGAATATGCTTTTAGTTAACAATGTTCCTTTACATTGCTTCTCAGAATTAAAAATGCTTCTCCCCGGCATTTTTATCTCCTGATCATACTCAAGAAAATTATTCTGAAATTCCAACCAGTTTAAAAAACATTTACAAGAGTAGATTGTATCAATAAAATAAAATATGAACTTTCTTTTGCCTTCAGATGACATTAAGTAATTGTAGGAACTGTCTGCATTCACCTTGGCATTTTGTTTTGTAGGGAATATAAACTGATGTGGTAGAGGTCTGACTCCCGTTCATCATGTATAAAAAGATTTTACTGTTGAAATAGACACCTGTAGAAATCGTTTTACAGTGCTGTTGTTATTGTTTGCCTTGAATTCACTATCACAACTGACTATTATGATTCTTTCTCAAGTGTGTAGTATAATTACACTTTAACCAGGGGATTGGAGTCTTAAGAACAGGGCCTATATGGAAAACAATTTAAATCGCTAATCTACAACAGCAGTGGCATTCATTTGTCATACAAAATTGTTTCATGACACATCGTGTGAGGACAATATCTCTGACACTGGAACATTTAGCAACAAAAATATGAAAGGCTAGAAAAGGTTGTAATGTATTCTTCATACATTCATGTGTACATTTTGGACTTTATAGAGCAATCAGTGATTTTTATTCAAATGTCTGAGGAAATGCAGTTTATAGTTGGAAAAATGACCATTTGTGACAATGAAAAGGTAGAAATGTGGCCTGGAATGTGAGCATCTACATTGTGGACTTTTGTCTCTTTTTCTTTGACACACATGCACACACATACTGGCCCTGCAGAGGAGCCGGAAAAGAAAAGGGAAAAAGGCCCTGAAAAGAACCTGAAAAGGTGAAGAGAGATGGAGGGGAGAGACAAGAGGGCAGGGGATCATAAAGAGTAGAAAAGCAGAGAGACCAGATTCTCCGAGGCCTGTTACCCAAGCTTCCTGCTCATTGTACATAACAACATAATTATGTTAATTGGATACATATTCTCTTTCATTTGTCCTTTTTATGTCAAAGAGAAGAATTTCTCTCTTTGTGCACGCGCATATATGTCAGTGAGTACATGCATCTGCGTGTTTTTAAATATGCTTTCGCTTGGGTAAATTCATTCAAAGGCTGAAAATACATCCATAAGTGGAAAATGTTTTCTATAATGTTTAATTATACATTTTTACATTTGGTTAGTGTTCATAAAAAAAAAAAAAAGAAGTGAAAATGTTTCATTCCCCAGGTTAAACAATCTTTTATGTGAGCCTAAAAAATAAATGTAGATAAATATTGCCCAATAAATTATGTGGTAGGAGTCAACAAAATAAAAGACAACAGAGAATGACAACAAAAAAGGGAGAGGAAAAGGATATAGACGGCTGCTTAGGACCTATTGGCAATTCTGGGCACCCACCCCCAAACTACAAACGCACAAGCTGACCTCCTAGTGTGCTCGTGACAGCTATTGACTTTAGATGTTTACCATTGTGTCCCCGGTAGAGAGACTGAATGACACCGCAAGCAAAATGCCAGTCTATTCCCATAGCAGAGGCAACGTTTCCACGCTGCATAAAGGGGCGGCCCCTGATCCCTCACTGCACTGCTTTTTATATATTCATATGGATTCTTTATGTTAAGTCTCACAATTGAACTCATTTCTGGGCATAATTATAATTATATAAGAGTTATACGTTGAATATATTGGTCAACATTTGTCAATGAAGTAATACATTTCTGCATTTATTTGTTTTCTCACACTGAGAAAACAAATAAACGTTCTTTTCTTACCGAATTATTACATTTTATTGCAATTGCTAAATTATATGGGAATCTTTGTATGGGTATGAAATGCTAGAAGTGGTGAAGAAGTGACAGAAAAAACAAACTGAAAAAGGAATGTGAACCACGCATAATAGCTGAAATAATCCCGTTAAAAGCAACAATTTAAAAACTCTAATGACAAAAAAAATCTGGTGTAACATTTGAGCAAGTTTATATTATTCGATGAGCTTCATAGAATGTAGTCGGTAGATTCTTAACTCCCATTGGAGCTAAAATGTGTCAGTCACAGCCCTTCTGCCCACCTCTTTCAGTTTTAAATGGTTCCCAATGGAAGCTGTGATACTTAACCTGTGGCATTCGGCATGATCACCGCTCCCCTGCATAGTGAATAAAATCGGTCACTATGGTGACCATCAAATCGTAAAAGACAGGTCCTCATTTTCAGCAATGTAACGATACATAAATATAAATACACAAAAAAATGCAAAATATTTAGAGAAAAGTTTTATATTTTCATGCAAGACTCTTAAAGTCAGGTCAAATTAACTTCTGAAAAAACTGAACAGAACAGAGTAACGGCCAAACAGACACCGGGAAAGAACACCACACACCCTTCAGACAATGCCATCAATTACGTTTCTTCGAAATTTCGTCTTTTTCCTTTTTCCTTGCTTTTTTGCGCTGCTGTTGCTGTGCCTTTTGCCGCAGATCTCCGGACAGAAATCAACAGGTCCACGGGTGAGTGAGACAACCGTAAATTAGATTAAAATTATCTGCATGACAGTCGGTCATTTCGGTTTATTCGAACATGTTACGACCCAAGTTTAATTACATTATTTAGATTGTTGTTTGATTAATTTTATTTATCGTAGATTCATCCGAAACAGCCTACATGCGATCATAAAGAGTAAATTGGTGACGAATTATAATCTTTACAGTATAAGAAAGATCAAAAGATATTCAATTGTGGATTGATTTTAACTTATGTTTAAAGAAGTGACCGATAACTGGTTACAAAAAACTCCTGATTTCATAAAGAGTGTCAGATAAATTACAGTCTCGCAGTCAATCGGATGACGGCTAGAGAAAATATCTAGAGACACAGAGTAAAGTGGAAATGTATAAAAATAGAAGAGATGACATCTTGATGGATGGAAATCTGACTGCTCTGAGAAACGTACTTTCAACCGCCGAAGTTTTATAGGATATGTTTAAAAAAACTAATTAAGCACTTTCAGAGGAAAGAAAACAATCCACACTAACTGTTATTTTGGACAAAATAATACAAAAGCTGAATGATAAAAACAGCAACATTTGTAGGCTACAATTGAGTGTTGCAACATACGTTATTGTTGTCGCTGTTTTTTCCACTGAGAAGTGAAGTTTTGACACAGTGTCTCGGTGAACGAAGAAAAAGTGCAACTTTTTTCTTCGATAGGAAATAAGCAGCATGGTTTGGCAGCTCTTGTGATGATAGTTATGAAGTCTTCAGTGGACAGCAATATCATAATCCCTGGGAAGGTCTGTCGGTCACATGTGCATTGCGCTGGTCACGCACCCTGTCCTTGTGGAGGAGTTACTGCCGCTAGACGTGGACTCCTCTGTGTTGGAATGTGGCAAAGGATCTACTTCCCACCAGCACCCCGGGATTCTGAAGCCGTTCTTTTTTTGGAATCATGGCTTGTGCTGACAAATTAGCTTTTTGAGTTTTTAGTGCTGTATAAGTGTGCTTCGTTTTGTTGGTGTTACTCCCCTAACCAGTGGGAGTATATGTGTGTGTTTGCTAATGATGACTGCCAAATCCGTCCTTTCTGTGTTGTTGGACTTTACCCTGTCTAAAGCAAAACTCTTTTCTCTCTTGCTCTGTGTTTCTCCTTTGTTAACTTAAAAAGGCTCATTTTTTTAAATACAAATCATTTTTCTTTACTCTTGTTTGGCAGTATAATATCTGGCTCCAAATAAATAGATTTTTTGACATTATGCTATTCTATTAGTACAAATTTTTCTGTGCACAATCTCTTGAATCAATACGTATTTATTTGTTATGCTGGTGGCATGGTGGTTTATGACATAAATGTGTCACTTTGGAGGATTGAAGGATGGTGGCTGCAGACAAGAAAGAGGGTATTGACCTCTACAGTGAACCAGAGTCAGCCTAGTATGAACAAAACTGTACAGTGGTTTTGGTAGATAAGTAACAGAAACTACCCTGTTAAAATCCAGGCAAACCAGTAACACAACTGACTATATTTTTCAGCAAGAGTAAAAAATAAATATATTTAATAACAATTTCATAGTTATACAGATAGCACTGCAACAGGAGATAAATGTAGTGAATTCTCAAGTGTACTTAATTTTCATTTTCTGGTTCAATCGACAGCTCTATCAATACACTATTAATTGAGATCCAACTTTAATGAAAACCATCATTTTAAGTAGCCCACACAGAACTGAAATGAACTCTTTTGAGTTAAATGAAGTTAATGTCTGCTTTACTGTGCTGTTTCCAGATTTCTTTCTAATACCTTATACAGATAGCCTTTAATTCCTGTGATATAGACCATGTCTGTTGTCAGAAACTCAAAAAATATGAACAGAGGGAGAAGAAGTCAATACAGTTCACCCAGTTATGTTTGTGACAATCGGCAGTCCGGCAATGCTGAAGGCTGTAGGTGCCTTGGGTGTGAACTGTGAGTGTCGACAAAGAAGGAAAACAGATTACTGCTAAAGGAAGCTGTTCTGCTGAATTGAAACATTTTTAAATGCTGGGGGACACATTATTGTAAAATAAGAGACATGGGAAAGTCATTTTAATTTCAGTATTGGCATGGCAACCACTTCTGTTATAGGGTTGTGTCATATTATTGCAGAAAATGTTTTGTCAAGCCTGGGCGATTAGAATCAAAATCATAATTTTAAAAATTAGAAGTATTTGTTATTATTTTAATTACTATGACCTAATACTGCATGATGGGTCTAAATCCTGTCCCTGCTCTGCATAGACATTGAACATTCTTCCCAGGTTTTGTTCTGGTTTCCTCCTACAGTCTAAATACATGCAGTTATGTGAATTGGTGATGGTTAAGTTGCCTGTAGCACTTGTATGCCCTGTGACAGACTAGCATCCCACCTAGAAAGTACCCCTGCCTTGTGACATATGCATCCTGGGATAAGCTCCCAGCTCACCCCTATGACCTGGTACTGGGTAAGCAGAAGATGGATGTATGAAAACTCCACAAAGTTTAACCATGTAACAATCTTACTGTATAATTTTTGGAGGCATTGTGGCAACAAACTGAACTGTTATTCCTGACAGGAAAGTCACAAAGTCTTTTCATGATCCTTGATTTGTCAAATGCATGGGTTTCAGACTGTCCAGGTCTATCATCTAAAAATCATGCGAAACACTGCAAAATTAAATGCTGACCAGCAGGGGCGGATGCTGACAAGGGCGAGATGGCAGCGGCTTAGAGGGCTGCCGACTTA